GTGGTTCCACACCTGGTGGTTCCACACTTGGTGGTTCCACACCTGGTGGTTCCACACTTGGTGGTTCCACACCTGGTGGTTCCACACCTGTTGGTTCTACACCTGGTGGTTCTACACCTGGTGGTTCCTGATGGTTCCACACCTGGTGGTTCCACACCTGGTGGTTCTACACTTGGTGGTTCCATACCTGGTGGTTCCATACCTGGTGGTTCCTGATGGTTCCACACCTGGTGGTTCCACACCTGGTGGTTCCTGGTGGTTCCACACCTGGTGTTTCCACGCCTGGTGTTTCCACGTCTGGTGGTTCCACACCTGGTGGTTCTACACCTGGTGGTTCTACACCTGGTGGTTCCACACCTGGTGGTTCTACACCTGGTGGTTCCACGCCTGGTGGTTCTACACCTGGTGGTTCCACACCTGATGGTTCTACACCTGGTGGTTCCTGATGGTTCCACACCTGGTGGTTCCACACCTGGTGGTTTCTGATGGTTCCATACCTGGTGGTTCCTGATGGTTCCACACCTGGTGGTTCCACACCTGGTGGTTCCACACCTAGTGGTTCTACACCTGGTGGTTCCACACCTGGTGGTTCCACACCTGGTGGTTCCACACCTGGTGTGGTTCCACACAAAACTCAAACTACAGATCCCAGAATGCATTGCAACAGTGAATGCTTTGCCTTTCATGGAGAAAAGGCCCCTCCCACACTGCTCCAGAACTTTTTAAAGCAGGTTTTATTCTGAGTTAGAAAAATATCTGGTGGTCTTGTAGGCGGGGTCTGTGGTGGTCCTATAGGCGGGGCCTGTGGTGGTCCTTTAGGTGGGGCCATGTAGCGTACCTCCCTGATGTCTGGAGTGTCTTCAGAAGTCCATCGTGATGTCTCCTGAAATGAAAGTCTTTTATGTGAGGACAGCAGAGACACGTCACCTGTCCTTAGTGATGATGTGACCAGAACTCTAGACCAGGTCCAAGGATCTGGACTAAAACTAAACTTTTATAAAGATAAAGAAAATCTCAATATTAAAAATTTGACTGAATTTGTCTCAAACAAAGATTTCGTCTCCTTTGACCCCCCAGGTCAAAACTCACATTAGTCTTTAGCTTGGTTTGACCTGCTGGGGGCACTGAGCTTGTCCTGATGGGGACCAGAAACTGGTCCCTCCTGGACCTGGTCCCTCCAGGACTTGGTCCCTCCAGGACCTGGTCCCTCCAGGACCTAGTCCCTCCTTGCTGCAGTTGAGGTGTTTCTGGAAGCTGAGGGTCTCTGTAGGATCTTCTCTGCCTTGAAGTTTTCTGTCCCCCGACTCTGGAAAGGTCTGGTGTTTGGTGTCTGTTTCCCACCTGCAGGTTTTCTTCTGAGCCTCCTTTGGTCTTCTGGTTGTCTCACATCAATCATTCAGGTATTGTTTCAGACCAGGACCTTCAGGGCTCTCTTCTGTTGGCCAGAACCTCTTGGGTTTTTAAGTGTTCTAAAGAGTCAGACGGACTAAAAACTGTTTCTTCTGATTAAAACACTGAACCTGATTCAGGACCTTCCTGAAGGTCTTGATCTCTGTAGATCTTTGGTTTAAGGACTAACATGACTCAGGAGTTTTACCTGTTTTAACCTGAACCTGTTGGTTTGGACTCTGTAAGACCACATCTGGATTCAGGACCTGCTGGTCTTAAATCAGAGACCAAAATCTTCTTAGTACCTTCAAGGTTTTTTATTTTTTAACCATAGCATGGCGCTCCCACCACCGTGCCTGACATTTAGTACCGTGTTCGGACTCCAGGTCATGGACCAGGATCTTGTTGGTCTGGATTTGAGAGCAGACCTGTGGTTCCTCAGACCTGCTGGTCTTGAATGGACCAGGAAGTGTTCTGAGTGAATTAATGCTTCTTGACTCAGACAGAAACAGTTTTTAGTTCCAGACCTGGACCTGGACCAGGTCTGTGGTGAAATCCTGATTCTGGCCATCAGAACAGTTTGATGTGTTTAAGCTAGCACCAACCCTGCTCCTGCTGAGGCTGTCCACCTTAGACCGAACCCAGGGGTCCACTTCCTGTTTACCACCCCCCCCAGCCTGTAGAGACCAGGATGTAGACTGGATGAAGAAACATAGTCTTCATCACTCAGTAAAGTCAGAGATCATGGAGGAGGTGCACAAAGGTCAAAGGTCAGCTGAATGTGGGTTCACTTCCTCCAAACAGAACCAGTTACAGTCTTGCTGTAGTCCTCTAGTCTGCTGGTTCCGGCTGGTCCCAGCTGGTCCCAGCTGGTCCCAGCTGGTCCCGGCTGGTCCCGGCTCAGCAGATGTTTGTGCAACCAGCTGTTATCACCCAGCATGCCTGCTTCAGCTTCAGCTTCAGCTCACAATCTTTAAACTCCTTAAATCAAGACCTCGATGGGATTCTGGCTCCGGGAGACTCTCCAGGGACTTCAGGTCCACCAGATGTGTTCCTGCTGAGGTTCATGAGGAGTTAGTCTGCAGTGAACATCACTCCATGGTTGAATATTTAAAGCTCAGTTAAATTTAAAGGTTTTAGTAAACAGTTAAAGATGTGTGTAGAGTTTTAAAGGTTTAAATCTTTGCAACATTTTTAACGTCCAGTTAAAGATCAAAAAGAAAAAATCAGTAGTTTCTCTGGATGGTTCTTCAACGTTTCGTCTCTCCTCCAAGAGACTTCTTCAGTCTGAGGAGTTTCATGTGAACTCAGCCTTATAAGCTCCGCCTCCACATGGTGGACAAACAGGTTAGTCACATGCAAAAGAGGACCATCAAATAACAATAGGCTTGATTAGCTCTATTGTTCATAGAGGATCTTCTATTATTATACGTTTATTCTCTAAACATGACGTCCCAGTGGCTCCCCAAAACACGTTACAACAAAGACTGGTTCACCCCAAAGATCCAGTTCCSCGGCAAAAACAGAGTAATATAGTGTATGCTGTTAAGTGTCAGGAGGACTGTGATCAGTTATACATTGAGGAAACTAAACAGCCACTGTTCAAAAGAATGAGCCAGCACAGATGAGCTACATCATCAGGTCAGGACTCTACAGTTTACACTCATCTACAGGTCAGGACTCTGCAGTTTACACTCATCTAGAGGTCCGGACTCTGTAGTTTACACTCATCTACAGGTCAGGACTCTGCAGTTTACACTCATCTACAGGTCTAGACTCTATAGTTTACACTCATCTACAGGTCAGGACTCTACAGTTTACACTCATCTACAGGTCAGGACTCTGCAGTTTACACTCATCTACAGGTCTAGACTCTATAGTTTACACTCATCTACAGGTCAGGACTCTACAGTTTACACTCATCTACAGGTCAGGACTCTGCAGTTTACACTCATCTACAGTTTACACTAGTCTACAGGTCAGGACTCTACAGTTTACACTCATCTACAGGTCCACAGTTCACACTCATCTACAGGTCAGGACTCTACAGTTTACACTCATCTACAGGTCAGGACTCTACAGTTTACACTCATCTACAGGTCAGGACTCTGCAGTTTACACTCATCTACAGTTTACACTAGTCTCCAGGTCAGGACTCTACAGTTTACACTCATCTACAGGTCAGGACTCTACAGTTTACACTCATCTACAGTTTACACTCATCTACAGTTTACACTCATCTACAGGTCAGGACTCTACAGTTTACACTCATCAACTGGTCAGGACTCTACAGTTTACACTCATCTACAGTTTACACTCATCTACAGTTTACACTCATCTACAGGTCAGGCCTCTACAGTTTACAC